TAGGAGTTTACGGCCATGGGACACATGCTATGGCCGTAAACTCTCAAATGATGAGTTTGGTTGAGTTTAAGGCCCCAAAACTATTTTTGTTGGATCTATGATTTATTCCAAGGCTTTTGGTGGTGTTAGATGGCTTTCTAACACGTTTGGAATGTGTTTACACACATGTTTGAGGGGTTTACGGCCCAAGCATATGTCTTGGCCGTAAACTCATGTTTACTCTTCAAAATCCATGTTAAAGGCATTCTAAGTCCAGTCCATTAAGCCATTAAGCCATATCTAAGCTCCAAAGGTCGATTGGAAGGGTTTTTGGGCTCCAAAACCCATTTTATATGAGTTCACGGCCTAGGACTGTTCCAAGGCCGTAAACTCATGAATGTGGTCCTATTCCATTATTTGAACTCGAATTTGAAGGCTAAGGATGTTATACTAGGAGCTAGGGTGATTACCTTGGTGTTTTGACGCTTGAAATGGATGATTTTTGGACCAAATTCTTGAATTGAGGAGAGAGGTTAGAGAGAGAGTGAAAAGGCTCCAAATGAGTCTTAATTCACTTTAAATATGGTTTGAATTGGATACACGGTGGAATTCTACCCGATACCGATGTTAACCGATGTTTTGGGTCGCACCCGATTAAGTTGTCGTTACCCGATATGGTCGAAAACTAAAAAATTTCAATTTACTAGCTTGGGACGTTTTAAAATGTTTCCAACATGTTTGGATACTTACAAGGTCAAACTAAAAGTTTTAACTTAATTGACCTAGTTCGAAGACGAAATCAGAACAACTCGCTTAAGACGAGTTTTATTAATGAAACGGTTATGGCGAGGGAACAGAACTTCGGTTTGTTACATTATCCCCCCGTTAGAGGGAATTTCGTCCTGAAATTCAAGAATTAAGATACATATTATGGAAAATGATGCAGATGTGTCTGCTGAATCGGGTCTTCACACTCCCAGTGAATTCAGGTTCTCGCATGGAAGTCCAGTGAACCATCACTAACGGGATATGGCTTTGTTTCGTACGTTTGATCTTTTGGTCTATGGTCTTGATTTTTTCAAGAGGAATTACTAAGGTTTCATTGGACAAGTACTTCTAAAGATTCGGAACGTGGGAGATAGGATGGACATTTCTAAGTTCTGAAGCTACTCGGAGTTTGAAGGTTACAGGGTGGATCCTAATGAGTATCTCGAATGGTCAAATGTATCACTAGTTAAGCTTTCCGTGCTTTCTATAACGTGTCATGTCCATCCAGGGTGAGACCATTAACTAGACACGATCTCCAACCGAGAATTCTATAGGTTTCCATTGTACCTTGGTGGAACTCTTCATTCGATTCTAGTGAAGTTTTCAATTATTCTCGGGTCTAGATGATCTTCTTGATGGTTTCGCGGATGATTTCGAAACCTGTACGGGTACTATCAAGGAATCAACTATTGGCTAGCTGCGTGTCTTCTATCTTGACCTAACACGAGGGAATCTGCACTTTTTACATCGACAAAAGGGTACACCTTTCCGTGTCGGGATAGTTATGGCTTTGGTGATTCTGGATGAATTTTCTGAATAGGTCTGCAATAATAGCCGGCGAAACCCAAGAATTTACAGGTTTTCTATGGGTGTCTTCGGTGCCGACCAATTCTCTATTGCTTTGACCTTATGAGGATCCATGTGTATGTCTTCATTGCCTACTACATAACTGGAGGAAAATGGTTTGACCGAAGGGTATCAATGCGAACTCTTAGTGATCATATCGAGTCTCGTATGCTCTCTTTGAAGCATCACTCTCATGAACTCGTAGCTGATGGTATTTCGAGCTAGGGTCTATCTTCAAGGAGTAGCTAGTTCCTAAGTTTTCTTGAAGAAGTCATCTACTCTGGAAAGAGGATATCGGTTTTGACGGTCAACTCATTAAGTCGACTGGATAACTCCTGCATTTCTGCTAGGGCAAAAATGGTACGGAGATTTGGCTGCGAAGGTAGTTCCAGGGATTTTGTCGATACGAGACTCAATTTGGCGTTCGGGAGGAATTCTCGGGATCTATTCAGAAAGATATCAGGAATGCTACAGTTTTCAGGGATTCTCTAGAAGTCTTTAACTTCTTGCTTCTCGCTGATTACATGGACTAGGAATACCTAACACTCCTTTTTGCAGAAGTTTTTGAGCTTTAATACAGAAAATGATGCGAAGATTTGGGCCAAGCTTGACACTATATATCATGAGGGTCCGGATCAGAGAGGAAATTGAGACGAATAGCTTTTTCATAACAAAGTGTATCAGTATGATCAGGACTCAACTGATACATGCCAAAGATAACATCAAAGCTCTTTATTGAAACTAACATCAGGTCAATAAGGAAAGAATGATTTCTCAAGATAACGATACAGTTTAGAGATATGTCGTTAGTGCACTCATTCTCACCGGTAAGCATCTTGACGGTAAATGTTTCGGTTATTAGATGAGGACTGTGTTTACGAAGATATTCGAATGAATGATAAATAAAAACTTTCTTGAAACTTGATTCGAAAAGAATACGGGCATAAGAATTGTCGAGAAGAAATATACCCGAGGCGGTCGGATCAGCGGCTGCTTCCTCTTACTTCATAGCTAAAACCATATCAGCGTTGTTGATGTTGTTGGTGGTTGTTGTCTTTGGGCAGTTTTGCTTGAAATACCCAATCTCTCCACAGCCATAGTAGGCCTGTCCGATACTCGATCCAGAAGCTTGGTTGATTAGATGAACTGGTGTTCTGCAGGTTCGAACAGAGTGGCCCTTTTTACCACATCTTTTGCATATCCACTCACGGCATGGTCCAGGGATACGATGATGATAACTGCACTTGTTGCACCAAGGGTGATTGCCAAAATACCCAGTGATAGGTGGTTGAGCTGTAGACACAGCAACTGGATTAGTGGTAGCTTGAGCTGTAGATACAGCAACAGGAGTAGTGACAACTTGAATTGTCACAGTTTCATGCTTCTTGGAGGGTCCTTGTGAACTCTGACCCTTTCGCTTTTTACTCTTATCACCTTCATTCTGTTGCCCTAGAACATTTTCATGGTTTTGGAGATTGATGTTACTTCTTAGTCCACTGAACCTGTCGGGGCAGAAGTATGTCACTGCGGTAGTCACTGCGGCAGAAATAGCCAACTGGAACATCACTGGGTCGAATCGATAGGGAGGTGGCGACGGAGGGCTGTTGTTACTTGAATTGGATCCTTCCTTCGAAGACATTTCGATCTAAAGTGATTAGGAAAAAGAGGATGGTAAGTCCTCTGCAGTAAATCAAGAGATATGACATAGGGATATCTCTTTATAACAGACATATAAATTTATTAAGCGATAGGGCAGGAATGAATTTATCAAGGCAGATAAACTATCACTAAAGGAATGATCGAGGGACAATGCTTGAACAGGAATTTTCTACAACAAAGTTGGATCTAGAAATACTCCCATAGTATTTCATGATTCACTACGATGACGATTCGTTGTTTGGGATATTTGGGTAGGTTTTA